ACTAGAGCTTTTATGTATACTCATTGGAGAAATCACAGATAAGAAAAAAGAAAAAAATTCACTTATAATACAAATGCCTGGAAATAAAAAATTACATCACATTTTGTACATATTGTTGGCTAACACAAGACCATAGTCTCTTTGTGTTTATGTATAATCAAATTGATTTTTATTCTCATTTGATATACCAAAGTACATCTTTGCATATGAACATACTTCTGTAACTAAAACCACCTTTAATGGTCACATATTATTCCATCCTATCAATGAACTGAAATTTATTTATAAAATCCATTGTATGGGTTCAACTTAATACTTTGCTATTTTAAGCAATGCTGAGGAAAAACAAATTGCATGTATCTCTCACTATTTTCTGAAGATAACTTAGTGTCATGGAATTGATAAGTAAGGGACATACACATTTTTAAAATGTGGAACTTACCACCAAGCTATTTGGAAAGTCATCAGCAACTTAGATGTTTGGCAGCACTGAAAGTACCAATGCTCTGAATCCTCACAAACTTTGTGAATAGAAAACAGTATTCTATTCCTATTTTTACTTAAATTCCTTCTCTTACTGAGAACACTAAATATTTTTTCCTATGGACATAGGTCAAAAAAAGTCTTTGCCCAATTTTAAATTAGAGTTTAGTTTTGTCTTATTGATTTGAAAATTTTTCTGTAGAATTAAGACATATTTTTATTTGATACGTACGTGTTATAAGTGGCTTGCAATTATATTATCTTTTACTTGTTAATTTTTTTCTAATACACAATGTGCTTTAATTTTTATTTTGCTAAATCAACCCACACCATGCTTGCTTGTGAGGTCATTATTAGGAAGATTTTTCTTGCCATAAAATTGTGTCTGTATAAATAAGCATTTTTGTTTATTTCTAGTACTTTTATCATATTTATACTTAAATGTTTTAATCTATATTCCATTAGGAACTTATTTTGTGACATAAAATCTAACTAGTTTTCTCTAAAGAATTAACAAATATTTCTTATATGAATAATTCATCTTTTCCCACTAATATAAAATGTCACCATTATCAACTTCTAAATTCTTACATATATTTGGGTGTTTCTGGATTTTCTGTTCTGTTCCATTTATATATCTTTCTTTTCAGCTATTAGTAAATAATTAATTTGTGAAAATTAACACCCACACTGCTATTTAGAAGGGCAAGTCCTTCTTCATTCCATTATAAACATTTTCATAAAATCATCAGAATTTCAAAAGACATCATGTGTAATTCAAAAAATTTAAAACCTTGAATTTTTATTTGGCTTATGTAAAACCGATAAACATAGAAAGAGCTCGCATTTTGAGAAAAATAGTCCCCCCAGTTCCAGCTCTGAGGCTCCACCCTGGGCTTCCAGAGCTCCTGTAGGGCCTGGGACACCACTCCCAAGACTGCAGCACTGCACTTGGACCCAAAGACCTCACCCCTGAATCTCCACCACTGCTGCTGGGCTGGTGAAACTACTCCAAGGTCCAACAGCTCACCAGTGACCCCTAGACTTGAGCCGCCAATACACCTTGACCTGCTTCCAGCAAAAACTCAAAGCCTGGGCAACCACAACTACTGCCTAAATAGTCTCACTCAACCGCCACTGTGAACTCTGTGGAGAGACTTCAGGCAGAGCAATCCCCACAACACCAGCCTCTGTGGAGAGGGTCTCTCCCAGCCCCCTATTTGAACTTGCTACAAGGTGGGGAATAACCCACCACCCTACACAAAGATCATCCAATACCAGATGGAACTGAGGCAATCACAGGTGAACAGGACAGAACAGAACAGCTGCAGTACAGGCTGTTAGAGCACACATCCCTCCCCTGCCATGTCAACATTTCAGAATAGGAACACAGTGCCTTCTAGGGAGCTCCTCTTCTAATTAAGCAGGACAGTTCCCAGCAAAGGAGAACAGTTGCCCTGAAAACCTATTACTCCTGAGCCAAGAAAAGATGATTCAGATGAGAAAAAACCAGGAAAAGAACCCTGGCAACAACAACAAAAAAAAACATAATAGTACGACACCTCCAAGGAATCACAGTGGAATTACAGTAGTGGACTCAACCACAATGAAATTGCTGAAATGACAGAAATGGAATTCAGAATATGGATGGATGGCAAATATGATGAATGGAATTGAATCGAAAGTTTAAAACCAACAAAAATAAACCAAAAAAAAAAAAAAACTCAGGAAATCAATGAAAAAGTCACTAGGGAGCTAGACAACATAAGAAAGGATATAATAGAACTTAAACAAAACAGTCATTTAGAGAATTTCAAAACACAGCAGAAAGCTTCAACAACAGACTAATCTAAGGAAAACAAAGAAGCTCAGAGCTGGAAGAGAAGGCTGACCCAGTCATTCAAGCTACCCTAGACATTCAAGGAGGCAGAAAAGACAATAAAAAAGACTGAGCAATCACTTACAGAAATATGGGATTATGTGAAGTGAACTAACATTACTAATTATAAGTGTTCCTATGGAAAAAGAAGAAGAAAGCAAAAATCATGGAAGACCTATTTGAGGGAATTTTTAGGAAAACTTCCCTGGTGTTGTCAGAGATTCAGACATCCAGATATATGATGGTCACCAAACATTGGGAAGATTCATAGCAGATAGGACTTCTCCAAGACACATGGTAATCAATATGGCAAAAGTCAAAATGAAGGAGAAAATTCTACAAACAGCAAGACAAAAGCAACACCTAACCAGCAAAAGAAAACACATCAGGCTAACTACAGGCTTCTCAGCAGAAACCTTACAAGCCAGAAGGGATCGGGGCCCCATCTTCAATCCTTGTAAACAGAACAACTGCTAGCCTAGAATTTTGTATCCTAAAAAACTGAATTTCACAGTTGATGGAGAAATTATGTCTTTTCCAGACGAGCAAACACTGAGAAAATGTGTCATAACTAGACCTGTCCTAAAGGAAACACTCAGAACTGCATTATACATGAATGACCACAATAGATATGCACCAGTGTAAAATCATCCAAAAAAGGCTCAATCTCACAATGCTTACAAACAATAGCACAAGAGGGAAAACAAAGCAACAAGGTACTGCCCAACATGATCAACAAAACAGCATACCACCATTAATTCTATCACTCAATATTAATGGTTTTCATGCGCCACTCAAAAGACACAGGCTGGCTAAATGGATGACAAAATACAACCCCAGTATCTCCTGTCTCCAGGAAACACATCTAAACCACAAGGACACACACAGTCTCAATGTAAAAGGAATGGGGAAAAAATATTCCTTGCAAATGGAAACCAAAAGAGAGCAGGTGTAGCCATTATCATATGAGACACAATTGACTTTAAATCAACAATGGTTAACAAAGACAAAGATGCTCATTATATAATGGTAAAGGGAGCAAGTCAACAAGAAGACATAACCATCACATAGATAGATACACAGATAGATAGATATGCATCTAACACATGGGAACTCCCAGATACATAAAGCAAATTCTACAAGGGCCAAGCAAGGAGATAAACAGCAGCACTGTAATTGCTGGGGACCTCAACACCCACTGACAGAGTTGGACACATCACTGAAGCAGAAAATACATAAAGAAACACTGCACTTACATGCACTCCAGAAGATATGGGCCTAACAGACATTTAGAGAACATTTTACCCCAAAAAATACTGAATATACATTTTCTCACCAACACATGGGACATTCTTCAAGATTTATCATATCTTAGGCCACAGAATAGATCTCAACAAATTCGAAACAATAAAAATTATACCAAGGATCTTCTCAGACCAGAGTGGAATAAAATTAGATGTCGATTCTAAGAGAAACACTCAATTCTACACAAAGTCATGGAAATTAAACAGCCAGCTGGTGAACAATTATCAAGCCAATAATGACATTAAGATGGAAATCGAAAGATTCCTCCAACTGAATGACAAAGGGGAAACAAGCTATCAAAATCTATAGGATTCAGCAAAAGCATTCCTAAGGGTAAAATTCATAGCCTTAAATTCCCACATCAAAAAGACAGAAAGAACACAAATTAACGAACTAATGTCAAATCTCAGAACTAGAAAAGGAAGGGCAAACCAAACCCAAAGCCAGCAGAAGAAAAGAAATAATGAAGGTTAGACCAGAACTAAATGAAATGGAAAACAAAACTAAAAAAATACAAAGGATCACCAAAACAAAAAGTTGGTTCTTTAAAAAAATTAAACAAAATTGATAGACCTCTTGCTATATTAACCAGGAATAGAAGAGAAAGGATCCAAATAAGCACAATCAGAAATGAAAAAGGACATATTACAACTTATACCACAGAAATACAAAACATCATCAGGGAATACTAGAATAAGTGCTCTGTATACAAACTAGAAAACAGAGGAAATGGACAAATTCCTAGAACACAACCTCCCAGGACTCAGTCAAGAATAAATAGAACTCCTGAACAGACAAATAACAAGCAGCGAGATCAAAGCAGTAATAAAAAATCTTCCAACAAACAAAAGCCCAAGAACAGGTAGATTCACAGTTGAATTTTACCAGACCTACAAAGAAGAGCTGGTATCCATATTACAGAAATTATTCCATAATATCAACATGGAGGGATTCCTCCGCAAATCATTCTATGAAGCCAGTGTCACTTTGATATTAAAGCCTGAAAAGGACACAACAACAACAAAAAAATCCACAGACCAATATCCCTTATGAATATAGATGCAAAAATCCTCAATAAATTACTAGCAAACTGAATTCAATAGCACATCAAAAAAAAAAAATCCACCATGACCAAATGGGCTTCATCCCAGGGATGCAAGGATAGTTCAATATATGTAAATCAATAAATGTGATTCACCACATAAACAGAAGCAAAAACAAAGATCATATGATCATCTCAACAGATTCAGAGAAAGAAAGCATTTGACAAAATCCGGCATTCCAGAAATGGAAACAAATAGAAAAATATATCAGGCACGTGGATCAGTAGCATCAACATTGTTAAAATATCCATACTAACCAAAGCAATTTACAGATTCGAGGCAACTCCCATCAAAAAACCAATCTCACATTTCACATATCTAGGAAAAATAATTCTACAATTTGTTTGGAACCAAAAAAGAGCCCAAATAGCCAAGGCAAGCTGAAGCAAAAAGAAAAACTCTGGAGGCATCACATTACCAGACTTCAAACTATACTACAAGGCTATAGTAACCAAAACAGCATGGTATTGGTACAAGAACAGAGACACAGACCAATGGAACAGAACAGAGAAGCCACATATAAAACCATCTCCCTACAACCAACTGATTTTGGACAAAGCAGGCAAAACATATCCTGGGGAAAAGAAGCCCTGTGCAATAAATGGTCCTGGGAAAATTGGATAACCACATGCAGAAGAATGAAACAGGACCCCTATCTCTCACTACTTACAAAAATTAATTCAACATAGATAAAAGAGTTAAATGTAAGGCATAAAACCACAAAAATTCTAGAAGAAAATGTAGGAAAAACTCTTATAGATATTGGCCTAGGCAAAGAATTTATGACTAAGACCCCAAAGATAATTACAGCAACAATAAAAATAAATAAACAAGACTCGATTAAATTAAAAAGCTTTTGAACAGTAAAGGAAACAGAGCAAATAGACAACCTACAGAATGGGAGAACATGTTCACAATTTATACATCTGATAAAAGACTAATATCCAGAATCTACAAAGAACTCAAACAAATCAGCAAGAAAAAACAAACGATGTTATTAAAAAGTGGGCAAAAGTCACAAACAGAAGCTTTTCAAAAGAAGGTAGACAAATGACAAAAAAACATATGATAAAATGCTCAACATCATCAGTAATCATCAGAGAAGTGCAAATTAAAATCACAATGAGATATCACCTTACCCCTGTCACAATGACCATTATTAAAAAGTCCAAAAACAATGGATGCCGGTGTGGATGCACAGAGAAATGTATGCTTATATACTGTTGGTGGGACTGCAAATTAATACAACCTCTATGAAAAATAGTATGGGGATTGATCAAAGAACCTAAAGTAGATTTATCATTCAATCCAGCAATCCCACTACTGGGCATCTGCCCAAAGGAAAATAAGTCAAATAAGTCACTTTGTCAAAAAGATACCTGCTCTCAAATGTTTATTGCAGCATAATTCACAATTGCAAAGATGTGAAATCCACCTAAGTGCCTATCAATTCATGAGTGGATTATCAAAACATGGTTTATATATAGGCACCATGGTGTACTACTCAGCCATATGAAGGAAAGAATTAATGTATTTTGCAGTAATTTGCATGGAACTGTAGATCATTATCCTAAGTGAAGTATCTCAAGAATGGAAAAACAAACACCCATGTACTCCCTAATAATTTGGAACTACATGATGGGCACTCATGCGCTCAGAAAGAAGTAAGAATCGTTGGAAACCAAGAAGGGGTTGGGGGAAGAGGAGAGGAGTAAAAACCTACTCAACAGGTACAGTGAACAATATTCAGGTGATGGACACTCTTACAGCCCTGACTACAGCATTGCAAAGCTATCCATGTAACAAAAACATTTGCGCCCCCTTAATATTTTCAAATGAAAAATAATTAAAAATACAAAAGAGAAACATTAATCTTCCTATTCAAGAACATGGCACCGTCTTTCCACTTTTAGGTTTCTTTCTAAGGCCTCTCAGTACAAAACATATATTCACAGAAATACATTGATATAAAATGGATATTCGATTTTTATCCAAAGAATTTTTAGCCAAGAAAATGATATGGAAATTATTTCCCTCATTGTGTACCTTCCTATAATGTGTATAACATTGTCTTAAAATGTGTACAATAAAAATGAAATGCTTCCTCAAAGAACTAAATATGAAACCACCATTTGATTCAGCAATACCACTACTGGCTATCTACTTAAACGAAAAGAAGCCATTTTACAAAACAGATACCTGCGCCCGGATGTTTATCACAGCACAATTCACAATGGCAGATATATGAAATCAAGCTAAGTGCCCATCGACTGAGGAGTGGATAAAGAAAATGTGGTATATATACACCACAGAGTACTACTCAGCCATAAAAAGGGAAGAAACAACGTCTTTTGCAGCAACATGGACGGAACGGGAGACCGTTATTTTAGGTGAAGTATCTCAGGAATGGAAAAATGAATACCAACGGTTCTCACTTAGAATTGGGAGCTAAACGAGGGGTATATATGGTCATGAAGTGGTGTAATGGACTTTGGAAACTAAGAAGTGGGAGGGTGGGAGGGCGATGATAGATAAAAATCTACCGATCAGGTACGAGGTACAATACTCTGGTGACAGGTACACTGAAAGCCCTGACCTCAGCATTACATAATTCATCCATGTAACAGAAAACACTTCTACCCCCTAAATCTACTGAAATAAAAAAATAATGAAAGGCTGCAGACACTTAATTTTGTTAGTTAAATCACTTAAAATGTCAATAATGTGCTCTATAAGAGGAACTGTAAGTGGATGGAAAACGAGCTAGCGTTTTCTTTTGCTGCTCATAGGTGGCCTGGGGGCTCCTGCCCAACGTTTCCACGCCCCAGAGGCTGAGGAGCCTGCGGAGGGAAGGACGCCGGGCACCCTCGGTGACAGGAGGGCTCGGGCTCCCCTGGCTGAGCCCAGGAAGGGGCGCGTCTCCCACACCCCCCACAGCCGGCCCCAGCCCGGGGCTCGAAGTCCCTGGCACCTGTTCTTCTTATCCCGCTCATCCACGCCACTTTTTTTCTTCAGCAAGAGGATCTCCACTTTTTCCACTTCACCCTGGCAGGCGGCTCTGTGGATCTTGCCGAGATGGCGGTCTCGGATGTGGTAGTTGGGCTCCGAGAAGACGCTGTCCGTGTCAACAGTCTCACAGCTGATGTTGTTCCCCCGGACCTTCAGCAGGCTGCTGAGGAAGCCCCGGGGCGCCCCGCCCCGCCGACTCCCGAGGCCGAAGATCTTCTTCATGCCGGGGCTGTGCTCCGGCCTCGCAGACACCTCACCTCCCCACCCCACCCCACCCCCGACGGCTTTTCGCCTCTCCCAGAGCCGGACGCCGCGAAATCAACTCCGCAACCTCCCCCACAGAAACTCCGCGGTTTCCAGTGTCCCAGACGGAACTCAGCGAGCAAAGCCGTTAGGGACAAGTGCACGCGCCTCGCACCGCGGCGTCCGTGCGCGCGCCCACAGCGGTCGGAGCGCTTCGCGTCGCTGTCACTCTCAGCACGCGCCCGTGCAGGTGGGGGTTGGGCTCGGGCGCCCGCGTGCTGTCAGGCTCACCCGGGCTGCCTCCGTGTCTGGAGCCCGCGCGTGGCCTGAGGGCCACCTATCTGCGCCGTCTGCACCCGCCCCTCCTTGGCCCGCTCCTCCTGGCGCCGGGGGCCGCCAGCGCTGGGCGCTCAATGCCACCGGGGATAGGGCTGAGCAGCTGGTTCCCGCCCCTGTGCTGAAGCTGCCGCCTGTCCCACTTCCCAGCTTGGCCACCGCTGCTTCTGGGTGCGTCTGGTCGCAGGGTCCGCACTGCTGGGGCGCAGGGGGGTCGCGGCTTGCATGGCAGTCCCTGTCTGTGTAACCCAGTAGCCCCCTGCCCCGCGCTGATCCCAGCCCGGGGAATCGCCGCCGCCGCCACGGAGCTGCGGCTCCAGGCTGAGGGTAAGGAGGGGAGCCGGGAGCGGGCGGCCAGGGGAGAGCTGCGTGTCCCCACGCCCTGTCCCTGACGCCCATACTCCAGGGCTCTCACTTGGGCTCCTGGCCTTGGCGCGCCCGCCCGCCCCTCCCCCGCGACGCTGCGGGCCTTCTGCAGCCAACAAGATGAAGGCGGGCTGGAGGATCAGGGAATCCCGTCCCCGCAGCCCCACCCACCCACCCCCCGCTGTGCTTCTTGCCCTTCCCGCGGCCTGTGTGGGCTCACTGATTCAGGGGCCTCCCTGGGGGATGTGGTGTGGTTCCTCCTTGGCCCCTTCCTCCTTGGAGCTGGGGGCTGCCAGCGCTGGGCGTCTATGCCACCGGGTATCTGGACTCAGCAGCCGGTTGCCGCACCGGTGTCAAGGCTGCCAACTGTCCCACTTCCCCGCGTGGCTGGCTGCCGTGGCTGCGTCCCGCCGCAGGGTCTGCGCTGCTGGGGCGCAGGCGGGGTCGGGGCTTGCCTGGTTGTCCCTGCCTGCACGCCCGCAGTAGACGTCCCCTGCTGGCAGCCGGTGGTCATAGAGAAAAGTCACCGGCTAGAGCTGTGCAGCCTGACCTTGATGGCAAGATCCGTCCTTTACGTATGCTTTATGGTCAAGAAATAGAAACCTTTCAAAAAGGAGAAGGCAAGGATGGAGAAAAGTACACAGATATGGTGATTAATGAAACACGAAGCTGGGACCGAATGTGTTAAGTCCTGTAAACAGTTCTCCGAGTTCAATTTTGTGGGGAAATTCGGAGTCCACTTGGCAAATTCTCTGAAGAGTTCACAAGAAGAAACCCATAAAAAATGTACATGCTTTTAAAAGGTCCCATGAGAGTGAAGGCAAAGGAAGAAGAGTTGAGGAAAAGTAGAGAAGCCAAATACTTCCACCCCGTGACAATCACCATGTTCTCATTGACGTGTCTGCCCCATCTGCAGAAGCTTATGCCGCTTGGGGCATGCTTTGGAAGAAATCAAAAAGTTCTTCATCCCTGACTATAGTGATATCAGGGATATCAGTGATATCAGCACAGCCTGAGGAAATAATATATTTGAATGGTGATTCGGAAAATGCAGATGTTCGGGTGGTTTGAGGGAAGCACACCTTGCATACAAGAGGTGTGTCAACCCCAGCATTAACCAGGGGAAAGGGAGGCGTCACATCCTGGCCAGATGGAGTTGGTGTACTAGGAGGGACTCCAACTCTCAAGGGAGTCCTTTCCACCCTAGGGCCAGTAACTAGGGAAGAGGACATCTCACTTCCATAGCAAGAGGAATCCTCCAATTTGGGAAAGACCTCCACTGCGGCCTCCAACACCAGACTATGGAGGGAACGACTATAGTGATGGATATGGAACTGCTTATAATGAACAGAGAAATGATTTCTATGGTAACAGCTATACTTCCCCAGCCCAAAGTAGTGCTGATTACTGTGATTATGGACAGATACTCAGTGAGGAGACATGATTTCTACGTGCACAAGGAGTGGACTAACTGAAGACACGGGGCACCTTCAAGACAGTGAAGAGCGTGTCTACAGAGTCAGCCGTATGGCAGAGAGTGATTGTACTATCTGACGTTATGAAATACCCCATCTCCACCAGTCCTGCATACTGTTCAAAGTCATTTTTTTCTACAAACGACCCATTTTTAAGTAAATCAACGTGCTTAAAATCTGAATGGATGACAGTTAAAACGACTTTGTTGAAACAGCAGCCTGAGAGGAGAAAAAAAAGATATATAACATTTTGTTATTTCCAGTCTGTATATTAAAAAGAAAGGTCATCATAAAAAAAAAAACTTTTGATTTACTAGTCTTAAACAAAAACATAGACTAAATATTTTAATCTATTCTTTTAACAGGTGCCTCACCTTTTATTTAAAAGGTTTCTGTAGAATTTATTTTATTTTTCAGCTATATGCTAGCTTTTTTCTCTTGCCACCATGCATAAAAAGACTTCCCCATATCTGTATTTATTTCTACATCCATATATCTAGGTTTGTGTGTGAGGATGTGTGTGTGTGCGTGTGTGTGTGTGCATGTGTGTGTGTATTTTAAACTATGAGTTCACATTGATACGTCTGGTTTCAACACAGCACCATAGAGTTCATTTGGGTCTTCCCGTTTGTCTTACAGGGAGAAACTTTGCTCTATCTACATCATTAAGGAGTTTTACAAAGACTACCTCCATGAGAGAACGGCCCTCTTATTACATATATTACTATATGTTTTTTATAATGAATGTATATGGGACTATTCCAAGATTATTTCCATGGGGTTTAATAAGTTCTAGGGTGAATTTTTATAGATTACTTCAGAAATAGGAAAATTCATAACCTTAGCTGAGATGACCCTGATCTCTCAATGGAACCAAGAGTTATCAAACACCATGACCTAAACTCTGTTATAAGCTCGGTGTCTTGTGTCTCTCTCCCTGGAAATTATAACTCAGATGGAAGAAGTAGGAGAGGAAGCTATTCTTGGGAAGTTACCATTTGTCCTTCAAATGGGAATAATGGTTAGGGAGATCAATTGTTCTGGACTTTTGGGGGTCCACAAAGGCAGGTGTCGGTGTTTCCCAGTTATTTTTCGATTATTTCCCCAAACTCTGTATTTATCTATGATAAGGATACCTGGGCTAATGAAAATGTCAGATTTCAAAATTGATTTTGATTGGCATATCCTTTTTTTTTTTTTTTTTAAGAAATAAGTGTCACTATGTCGCCAAGGCTGGAGTGCGGTGGCTATTCATAGGCATGATCATGGCACACTATAGCCTCAAACTCCTGGGCTGAAGCAATTCTCTCTCCTCAGCCTCCTGAGCACTTGGGACTACATGCTCAAGACACTGCACCTGGCTGCTTGATTGGCATGTCTTGATGCATTTAATAACTACCAGATCTATATTTGGTCTCCAACCTCTGGAGTTTGAGCTCCAGACCATACTGCCTATCAGACATACAATTATAATAATAGCTAAAGTTATTGAGTTCTCACTGTGGGCCAGGCATAACATGACATGCCATACATGGATTGTCTTGTTCATCCTCATAGCAATCCTATGAGGTAGGTGCTTTTATTTTTCCCATTTTACGGATGAAGAAACTGTGGCCCAGCTCACAGATAGCGAGTGATTGAGCCCAGCCTGAACCATGGTGGGCTGGCTGCGGCTTCTATGCTTTTAGTCACTGCATCATTGCACCTCCCATCTGTACTTGGATGTTCCTCAGCACCCCAAACTCAGTATGTTCAAAACTAAGGCTACAATTTTCCCTCCAGATACACTGAAATTCCTCAAGTAAATCCTCCAGTATATTCTGTCCAGTCACCCAGACACTCAAGATGGATTTTTTTTTTTATTTTGGTAAAACAAACACATAATATTTACCATCTCAACCAAGTGCACAATTCAGTAGGGTTAAGGACATTCACATTGTTGTGAAACGTATCTCCAGAACTTTCTCATCTTCTAAATCTGAAAATTTACACCCACAGTAAAGAACAATTCCCCATTTTCCTCTTGTCTCAGCCCTTGGTAACCAACATTCGACTTCTGTGTCTATAATTTTGACTACTATAAGTACCTCATATAAGTGAAAGCATGCAGTGTTTGTCTTTAGGTGAGTGGTTTATTTCACTTAGCATAATGTCCTCAAGGTTCATCCATGTTGTTAAATATGACAGAATTTCCTTCCTTTATAAGGCTGAATAATATTCCATTATATATATAACATACAAGCTGTTTTTTGTTTATCCATTCATCTGCTGATGGAGACTTGGGTCACTTCCATCTCTTAGCTACTGCGAACAGCGCTGTGATGAGCATGGGTGTGCAAATATCTTTGCAAGACCTTGCTTTCAATTCCTTTGAATATAACCCAGAAGTGGGTTGTTGGATCACATGGTAGTTCTAGCTGTGATTTCTTGGGGAACTGCCACCCTGTGTTTCTAGATGGAATCTTTGATTCTTCTCGTTCCCATATTCTCATGTCCCATCAGCAATGAAATATCCTTCCTTATCTGTGCCTTTACACCAGGGTGACACACTATGTCTGTCACGCATGCTAACAGATAAAGTTGAGCAAGACCAAAGCCAGGACTCGGGTAAGATGAGTGAGGCATTTATCCTGGGTGCAAAATGTTTAGGACAGTGCCAAAAACCCAGTCATCGATATAAGGCATATTTTAATGAAATATTTTTTTAAAGTGGAAATTAATAATAAAAAATCCACCATGAACAAGTGCCAAAATTTTAAATAAAGAAGTGCCTTGCTGAGTCATATTGGATACTGAGGCAAA